GAAACAAACACAGGGAAGCAGCCAAAATGAGGAAACAAAGAGACATGTCACAGATCAAAGAATAGGACAAAACTCCAGAAAAAGAACTAAACAATATGGAGATAAGCAATCCACTAGATACAGAGTTCAGAACACTGGTTATAAGGACACTCAATTAACTTAGAGAAAGAGTAGATGAACTTAGTGAGAACTTCATCAAAGAGATAGGAAACATAAAAATGGAACTAGAAAATATAGAAGAACCAGTCAGAAATGAAGGCTGCATCAACTGAAATGAAGAATACATTACAGGGAATTGACAGTGGAGTAGATGGATCAGAGAATCAAATCAGAGATTTAGAAGCTAAGGAAGCAGAAAACACCCAAGCAGAACAACTAAAAGAAAATAATTTTAAAAAATGAGGATAGTATAAGGAGCCTCTGGGACAACTTGAAAGTACCAACATTCACATTAGGGGGGTACCAGAAAGAGAAGAGAGAGAAAGAGAGAGAGAGAGAGAGAGAGAGAGAGAGAGAGAGAGAGAGAGAGAGAGAGAGAGAAAGGGATCAAGAACCTATTTGAAGAGATAATTGCTAAAACCTTTCCTAACCTGGTGAAGGAAACAGACATAGCAGTCCAGAAAGTGCAGAGTCCTCAGCAATATAATCCAAAGAGGCCCACATCAAGACACATCACAATTAAAATGACAAAGGTTAAAGACAAAGAGAGAACCTTGAAAGAAGCAAGAAAAAAGCAGTTAGTTACCTACAAGGGAGTTCTGATAAGACAGTCAACAAATTTTTCAAGATAAACATTTCAAGTCAGAAGGGATTGGCACAAAATATTCAAAGTGATGAAAAGTAAAGAACAACCAAGATTACTCTATTCAGCAAAGCTATCATTTAGAATCAAAGGACATATAAAGAGCTTCCCAGACAAGGAAAAGCTAAAGGAGTTCATCACCACCAAACCAGTATTACATGAAATGTTAAAAGGTCTACTTTAAGAAGAAGAAGAAGAAGAAACAAAGATAAAAAATATGAATAATAAATGGCAATAAATACATATCTATCAACAATTGAATCTAACAAGCAAAATAAATGGACAAGCAAAACAGAAATAGATTCATACCTAGATACAGAGAACATTTTGATGGTTGCCAGGTTGGGGGGGAGGGGGATGGGTGAAAAATATAAAGGGATTAAGAAGTACAAGTTGGTAGTTACAGAATAGTCACAGAGATATAAAGTACAGAACAGGGAATATAGTCAATAACATTGTAATAACTATGTATGGTGTCAGACGAGTACTAGATTTATCAAGATGATTACTTAGTAAGTTATGTAATGTCTAATCACTGGGTTATACACCTGAAATTAATATAATATTGTATGTCAACTGTAATTAAAAATTAAAAATTATTTTACAATAAACAAAACAAAATTTTAAAAACTGCTTCAAATATTTCTTTTTAGAAATTTGCCTTAAGGTTGTGTGTGAATGTGAAGAATATAATATGTATAGAGTCAAATATATAAAAAAAACATGTGACTAAATGTTATCTTGGAAAATATAGCTTTTATTCAAAGGATAGCACTTGACTATATTATATTTTTTATAATATAAAATTATATCCAGCACTGCTTAGAGTGGAATTTATTATATGAAATGCTTATATGACAAAAGATAAAATAATTCAAATCAATTATCTAAATTTTACTGGGAAGTCATCAATGAGGGAGAAATAAAATTATTTTCAACAAATGGTGCTAAATTCCTGAAAGTAATACAAAATAATCCATAACAATAAAAGGTCAGGCATCATGATCAAAACAACCAATCAACCAGTCACTATGAGGTGCATTGACCACCTCTCGGTCCCTCCCACCAGCCTGCAGGCTCCCATCGCTAGATGGCCAACAGGGAACCACCAGAACCGGACTGGGTGACAGCGGAGTGGGTCTGGGGACTGGACTCGCAGGGTGGTGGCAGCATCGCAGAGCGTCCCAGGGCATCCCGGGGTGACGGCAAACAGCTTCACGGAGTGTTGTGGGGTGGCGGCAGCTTCACAGAGCAGAGCATCTCGGGGCAGCAGCGAGCAGCGTCACGAGGCGCTGCAGGGCGGCAGCAGCAGCAGCGAGCAGCACCACGGAAAGTCCCGGGGCAGCATCAGCGTCACGAAGCATCCCGGGGCGGTGGCAGCATCGCGGAGTGGCGGACATGGCTCTGATCACAGGCGAGGCCTAGGGACCCTACACACACACGATTTCGTGTGCTGGGCCTCTGGTCTCTATATATAAAAGCCTAAGTGGCTGTCCAACTGACCGTTCACCTGGTAGCTATGATGCGCAATGACCACCAGGGGCAAATGCTCCGACCAGTAGAGAAGGGAGTCCGATTCCTCATGGAATTGGCTGTGGGTTAGGTTGCTGCTGGGGCACTGTCAGCCCCGAATCTGCTTTACCCGGACCCCGGGCCCAGAGAGGAGGGAGCCCGATTCTGGGGTGCATCACCTGAGACCTGCCCTCTTGCAATCCAGCACCCCTCGGGGATATTGGAGAGCCAGTTTTGGCCAATCCCCACAGGCCAGGCCAAGGGACCCCACTGGGCCTCTAGTAGTGAATATAAAATGTCATTGAAAAAACAAAACAAAAAAACAAATGGTACTAGAACAACTAAATATCCGTATTGATAAAAGAAACTGTAATCAATGCCTATCCTATATAATAAAACCCTAATATGCAAATCGACCAAACAGTGGAATGACCGGTCGCTATGGCGCTCACTGACCACCAGGGGGCAGATGCTCAATGCAGGAGCTGCCCCCTGGTGGTTAGTGCGCTCCCACAGGGGGAGCGCCACTCAGCCAGAAACCAGGTTCACAGCTTGCAAGCACAGTGGCGCAGGAGCCTCTCCTGCTTCCACGGGAGCCTCTCCTGCCTCCATGGAGAGCGGGCCTAAGCCGGCAGTCAGACATTCCCTGAGGGGTCCCGGGCTGCAAGAAGGCACAGGCCTGTCTGAGGGATCCACACCCCCTCTCCCCTCCTTCCCCCCCCCCCCCCCGCCCCAGAGTGCAAATGTCGTGCACCGCACCAGGCCTCTAGTCTCACATAATATTCAGAAATGAACATAATATACAGAAATACTCAAGATGGATCAAGGGACTAAATGTTAAGCTAAAACTACAAGACAATTACAAAAACACTGTTAACATAAAACAAATGGGGTTTCTGTTTAGCAAATAAGAATTCTTTATTCTTTATTCAAAAGCAACTTAAGTACTTTTGTCAACTTCAGGGTCTTTTCCTGGCCACTTGCTGCTGTGTATAATGGAAATTAAATGGTTCCTTTCTTCGAATGGGAGACCAAATCCAGTTGGTTTTGTTCACATCCATTTAAAAATAGGTAAAAAGAATAGAGCTATCACACCACATACTATTTTTTATTCTACTAACTGGTATTTTTAAAACTTCACATTGTTACAGAATATTTATAAAATAATAAAGCCTAAAAAGTTTAAGACCACATAACTAGTATAGTTCCCTGTTTCAAAGCCAAATCAATCTCCTGAAGTTTGAGAGAATTACTGACTTAATAAATTAGAAAAGAGGGAATTAGTGAGTTGTTGTCGTCCTAAAATTGCCCAGCTGCCTCTAATTTGGAAAAGATAAATGTAGGTAGGAAGACCATTGGAAGCTGCCAAACACAAGCATTATCCGGAAGCCAAGCTGAGTGGGAGGAGAGACAGAGCAATTCATTTGCAGATAAAGCTCTTGTGAAATCCGGAAGATTTTTTTCTAAGGAAGTCCCACTGAAAGTTCATAATAACTTCTTGAACAGCTGTAAATTTCAGAGATAAAAGTATCAGCAGTAGCTGTACGCACTTTATATACCTGGAACCTTCACCCCGGGAAAGCAGAATTCTGTCTCTTTTGAATAAAAGCAAACAGAATAAGGGATGACTCTTGGGTCAAATTGGAATACAATGGCTTTTGGACAAATTCCCACAGTGCCATGTGACTAGTCTACAGTTAATAACCGTGTAGGCCACTAAGAAAATGATTAATCATTGGAGGGCAAACCAAATTCTGTGTGTATCCCATCAACATATTGCATATGAAATAATAAAGAAAATTATGCTGTTGTAACACTTAAAGCAAGCAAACATTAATCCTTCATTTAACAAATGTTTAGCACTGCCTGTGTCCCATATAGTTTACGTATACACTCTAATTTTCTGCTATCCTACAGCTGAAGTATTCCCAACATCACTTTCTAGATAAGGAGACACAAAAAGATTTTAACTCTTTTCTGTTTTCATAAGTTCCTGAAGAATAAATAGTAGTTTATTGGACATTGTGGCCCCATGGCATAGTAGTCAGTCCATATTAAACTAAAAAAAAAAATGTGTTAAATAAATTAGTAAATGAATGAATGAGATATAGTTAGGTTGACCTTGAAAAATACCTAGGATAAGCAGAAGCAAGGGAGTGAAGGCAGAATAAAAAAAAAAACAAACAAACAAACAAACAGAAAATCCAGTCACCATTGCTTGTTACTATTTAAGGAAAGCAAAATTAAAAAGTGAATCGCCTTATACCTAGCTACAAGAGAAAGGCTTTACTACCCGTAAGCTGAGGAGGTAAAGAGCAAGAATGAGTCCCAGAATTCAAAGAGTTGTAGAGCATGTAGCTGAATGCAGTCACTGACAACAGACCAAAAATCAGGTGAGAGGAGCCAGGGGAATAAATACCACAATCTTTGCCTTTCTTTCAGACCTCAGGTTTCCTGCTGACCAACGCAGTGATGGCTCCCACTGACCAACGCAACTAGAGGGCATGACATACTTGTTGATGTACTGCACAATGCTCAGCCTCCAGGGCACAAAGCAGAGAGAGAGGGAGGGTGGGAGGCAGAGTGAAAGAGGCAAAGGAAGGATATCCAGTAAAAGCCACGTGTTTTACATTTCAATATACTTTTATTTGAAAAACAATTAAAACCAATTTAACAAATTCTATTTCCATACGGTGTGACCTCTGTATTATTCTATTTGCAGTGGACAAAATGCTGATCATCAAACAAGTACTCCTGGGTCTTCTAAGGACTGGGAATCTGGGGCTCTATAATCTTAGGGCTTGTGTCTTCCTGATATTTCTGTCTGATTTCACCTATTTCAGGATCATCAACTATAAATGAAGCCAGGACTGGAATCTGCGAAAAGTAGTTCTTAGCCAGGATATGCTTGTGTTTGATCTTGTGAATGAACAAGGGTTCATATCCCTGAAAAAAAAAACAAAACAAATTCTATTAAATGTCATAGTTATATTTAGCCAAGTAAAAACACTTTCATGCCTCGCTGCCTTTGCTTATAATTTCTCTGAGCCCAGGGTACATTTTTCGCCACCGTGACTATCATCTTTCAGGGCTCAGCTCCTATGACCTTTAATCTGCCAGCTTTTCCTGATTCTCCCTTCTTTTCAACCAAGTGATGGCTACTACCTGTACCTTCTCTTACCACCTGTTTTTTGAGAGTAAAACAGCCCCTCAGTAAAGATCCCTCACTAGTGTCAATCAAAAGTGAAGAAGGCCCTAGAGGAAAGGAGCCAAAGAATATGAACTAGGTAGGATTATCCTGGGCTTATTTTTAAGCTTCCTCTCCACAGACAAATTTAACAGGTCAAAATAGGAATCCTTCACACTAATCTAACTTTATTCCATCACTTCTTAGCTCATATTTATTAAAGAAAAATTAATACATTTCTGTTATGCAGCATTAAATTATCCATACACAGGACTTCTTATATTTTCAAAGTACCTTTATAGATCCAAAATGTAATCCTTAAAGATGAGATAAGTATATTATAGTAAATACAATTAAAGAAATAATAAGCAGCTCTTAAAGAATAATATAAAAAGATATCCAATACCTATCACCCCCTTGTTATATTATTCCCTTTTTATTAATGAGAAAACCAGAACACCAAGACATTAACAACCTTGCCCCACTCCTCTCAGCTCATGAGTGACAGAGCCTGAATTCAAGTCAGGCTGCTCTGGTCCTCTGTACCGCGTCCATGCGTTTCGGTACCTTTATAAAAAAGTATGAAGCAAAGGGGGCAGGCCTTACTGTTCTTTAAATCATTAGTGACAGGAATGGGAAATACTGGGTCAGGTCTGCTGACTCTAAATCCACTGTTGTTCTACCTTGGCCAATGTGCACACCATGAGAAAGTGATCTGCCTCTTTTACAGTTTAGAGAAGAGAAGCTTTTTTCCATGCTTTTCCTACAACTTGTGTCATGATTACAGGGAGTCAATCTTTAACTTCTGAGTATTTTTTTTTTTAATTCACTGAGAAAGCAACTATCAGTGCATTATGGAAGATCTGGAAATACTTTAACTTGCTGCAAGACAAATTATTCTTTTTTTATTTGTTTTTGTTAATCCTCACCTGAGGATATTTCTTCTATTAATTTTTAGAGAGAGTGGAAGGGCTGGGGACTGGGGGGTGATGGGGGTGGAGTGAGAGACAGAGAGAGGAGAGAGAGGAAAAAACATCAATGTGAGAGCAACACATCACTTAGTTGCCTCCTGCATGGGACCCAACTGAGGACCAGGGATCGAACCTGCAACACAGGTACGTGCCCTTGACCAGGCATCGAACCCGTGACCCTTCAGTAGGTGGGCCAATGCTCTAACCACTGAGTACATCGCCAGAGCAACAAATTATTCTTTAACTAGGTTGAATATTAATACTCAAATGATTACACCAGGCTGAATATTAATACCTTAAAAAATTACATCAGCCCCAAACCATCAAGAAGGTAATATTTTTTTCTTGAGTTTGTCTGGTTGTAAACCTTAGCTCTAGTTACAGAAATTCAGTAAGCTCAGCATCCTGAATGGGGATAGAACTTAATTTGATTCTGCAGTAATTTGATTAAATACACAAGGGGAGCTGTGTGGATTAATTGAAGAAGGGGTGGAATATCAGCGCTGGGAATGCACTCCAGTCCCACTGCGGTGCTAGATGAAATGAGTTTGCTAGTATTGGCTATGCTTCCAGTGATTAAGTATTTAGGAGGCAGCTGAGTTTACTAAATACAACACATAACACACCTTCAAAATTTCTTGCTGCTCTTTCTTTCCATAGCTAAAGTAAAATTTATTTTAGCCTGGCTTCTCCGGGAAAGTTATTCAAAAAAAGCTAAAATTTTAACTAGTTTCTCCCCATTTACACCTCCCCTCTCCCCAATAAAAACACAGGCAGGGAACAGCATCATCCAAAATGACTTACATTTGAAGTCATTTCTTTAGTTTCTCTTAGCTGGCATCTTACATGGAATTGAATACATCAACTTAATCAGCAGAAGTCAGTAGCAGCAGTAGGAGTCCTGGGCTTGCTTAGTGTAAATAAAGCTCTCTGGGAACCCATTAGGGACTCCTCAAATTCATTCATCAACAAGCTTTAGAAATTACATCTTGTAAGTTACTGAAATTAAGTGGTATTTAATTTTTAACGTGCTTTCTCCACTCCTAGTTAGTTAGAAGCAAGTAAAAAATGGAGCCTCGAAACTACACCCCATCAGTATGATGATTTCCATTTTGAGCACAAAATTATGAACAAAATTTATTTGACAATTTAGTGTGCTTTTACGTAGGCTTGTGATGATTAATCAAAGGGCAGATTTTGAGTTCTATAATATCTATTTAGTGGTAATATTCATCTATTCACCCAACAAATCCTTATTAAACCCCTAATCTGTGACGGGCAGTGCGGTAGGTATTAGAGACACAGACACAAGTAAGCTAAACAAAATCTCTGCCCTTGCAGAGAGATTGTGCTTGAACTTGCTGTTATTAGATGGGAGTAGTATCACGTTTGACCTTCGGGTCTTCATTCTCACCTTTCATTCTTTTATTCTCGCTTTAGCTTCCCTTTAATTTTAATCTGTCACACGTACCATCCACAATTTTTGTTATCCAATGGGTTCTCTGTTTCTTAACTCAATGGAAGTACTTAAATTATGCAGTGAATGTGGTTTTTTAAATCCTCACCTGAGGATATTTTTTCCATTATTTTTTTTAATCTTTAATTTCTTTATTGGTTAAGGTATTACAAATGTGTCCTCATCCCCTCATTAACCCCCAACCTCCCCCCACACACACACACACACTCATGCTCTCATCCCCCTGTTGTCTGTGTCCATTGGTATGCATACAAGTCCTTTGGTTGATCGGAAAAGCGGAGGGAGAGAGAGAGAAACATTGACATGAGAGAGACATATCGATTGGTTGCCTCCCACTCTCACCTGGACCAGGGCTGGAGATCGAACCTGAAACCAAGGTACACACCCTTGATGGGGAATCAAACCAGACTCTGCAGTCTGGTGGCCTATATGCTAATCATTCCAGGGCAGGCATGGACTCTTGTCATACAGTCAAGTTATCTCTAATAATTCCAATGATTAAATTAATTTTCCCGGGTAAAATGCAACTTGCTTACCGTTTCAATACTTGTTAGCTTGAGATGAGCGGCAGCTTCATCCTTGGTGAGGAGAATGCAGTTCCAGGGGGACCACTCCACGGCCTTGTCCCACCGGACGAGGACCAGGTCGTTGAGGTCATTCCAGGCACTGAGTGCGGACTGGGCCGCCCAGATGTTCTCTACCAGGTACTGAATATCCTGCAGCTGCATGTCAACATAAGTTGAAAAATGTTTTCTTAGAAACATAAAAATTGCTTACGATTATTATATTACTTAAGGAAATAATTAAATTATATTGAGTATATTTTTGAAAGAGAAATACTATTCGTGAGGTTTTCCATGGCGTATTGCTCCTTATTTTTCAGTAAACATTTGTTCATTCTGTCCAAATTAGGTTATCAGTCTCACATTCATGACCGTCCGTACCTTTGACCTAGACTAAGCTACATATATTCCTTCCAGTATGCTAATTATACCTTACATTTATATGGTAAGTACTTTTCAAAATGTATGAGTAACTATCATCTTGTCCTCAGGGTTAATATCTGTCATTTTATTCCCATTGTACAAATGAGGACATTAAAATTTTAAAAAGCAATTTTCTTAGTGTTGTTAAAAAGATATTTTTTTTGTTTTAATGTAAAAAAGAGAGAAGGGGGAAATGAAATAACTTTAAAAACATTTTTTAGCCAAAACCGGTTTGGCTCAGTGGATAGAGCGTTGGCCTGAGGACTGAAAGGTTCCGGATTCGATTCCGGTCAAGGGCATGTACCTGGGTTGCGGGCACATCCCCAGTAGGAGATGTGCAGGAGGCGGCTGATCGATGTTTCTCTCTCTTCGATGTTTCTAACTCTCTATCTCTCTCCCTTCCTCTCTGTAAAAAATCAATAAAATATATTTTAAAAAAATAAAAAATAAAAATAAATAAAAAATAAAAATAAAAACATTTTTTAATTTAAACCATATTAGTTAAAACTCTTGAAGCAACTTTTTATCAAGAAGTCTACATATAGAACTTAACGGGGAAAAACTAAGATGGCGGCATAGGTAAACACCGGGAAATTGTCGCCTCACACAACAATTGAAAATTACCGCAAAGGACTGAGCAAATATCATCCAGAACAACAGGAAGGCTGGCTGAGTGTAAATTCTACAACTAGAAGGAAAGAAAAGCACGCTGAGAGCCAGAGGCGCTGCGGAGGTGAAGTGCAGAGGTACGGCGGCTCGCGCGCGAGGAAAGGGGGTGGCGCCTGAGGACGGGGCTGTCTTTTTGAATCACAAGCTCCCGATTGCTCTGAACTCCGGTTCCGGGAAGTCTCTGGGGACCCAGGACTCATACGGGGAGAGGCTGATCTGTCCGGCAGCGGGCGAACTTGAGGGTGGCTTTCCCTCAGAGGTGCTTGCAGCCGTTACCGGGACACTGAGACGCGCGACTCCGGGCGGAGAATCGGCCATAGCTCCTTGATCCGCCCTTTGACTCCCTGAGACCCCGCCCCACCCAGGCTGCGGCAGAGGCTTTTGCATGTGAATGTACCTAACTGCAGCCAAACCAGGCAGACCCGGAACTTCCAAGAGAAGGCCCAAGGCCCCGCAGCGGCTTGCATTGCTTCACAGCTGAGCCTCTTCGTGGCTCCTGCTGTGTGGCCTCAGGCAGAGGCTGAATTAGCACCTCCTTAGATCCAGGAGCCACTGTACCCAGTGGTCAAAGGGGGACCACCCAGATTGCAACTCCTCAGATCCATAAGGGACACACTCAGGGAGCAGACTCAGTGAGCACCAAAGCCCCACTGAAGCAAGTCTTGCCCCAGAAGGGTGTCTTCAGCACAGAAGTTCTCCCACTTTAGACACAGCTGATTCTCACAGCCAATTGGCCTGGAGGTCAATTCCTCCCAGTGATTCTACAACAACCAAGGCACCAAGAGTGCACCAAGAGTGTCCACCCCAGGTAACTGGGGAGGCTGAGCTACTGGGCCCTACAGGACACCTGGCGCACAGGGCCACTCTATCAACACAGGGAAGCTGCCAAAATGCGGAGACAAAGAAACAGGTCACAAATGGCAGAAATGGAGGAAAGCAAACGATTGGATATAGAGTTCAAGGCCACGTTTATAAGGTTTTTCAAGAATTTTATGGAAACCGCCGATAAATTTAATGAATCCCTCAATAAGTATAGTGAGACCATGGAGGACATGAAAAAGGACCAACTAGAAATTAAGCATACACTGACTGAAATAAAGAATAATTTACAGAGATCCAGCAGCAGACAAGAGGATCCCAAGAATCAAGTCAAAGATTTGAAATACAAAGAAACAAAAAATACCCAACCGAAAAAGAAAAAAGAAAAGAGATTCCAAAAATATGAAGATAGTGTAAGGAACCTCTGGGACAACTTCAAGCGTACCAACATCAGAATTATAGGGGTACCAGAAGGAGAGAGAGGGCAAGATATTGAAAACCTTTTTGAAGAAATAATGACAGAAAACTTCCCCTACCTGGTGAAAGAAATGGACTTACAAGTCCAGGAAGCGCAGAGAACCCCAAACAAAAGGAATCCAAGGAGGACCACACCAAGACACATCATAATTAAAATGCCAAGAGCAAAAGATAAAGAGAGAATCTTAAAAGCAGCAAGAGAAAGACAGTCAGTTACCTACAAGGGAGTACCCATACGACTGTCAGCTGATTTCTCAACAGAAACCATGCAGGCCAGAAGAGACTGGCAAGAAATATTCAAAGTAATGAATAGCAAGAACCTGCAACCAAGATTACTTTATCCAGCAAAGCTATCATTCAGAATAGAAGGTCAGAGAAAGAGCTTCACGGATAAGAAAAAGCTAAAGGAGTTCATCACCACCAAACCAGCATTATACGAAATGCTGAAAGGTATTTTTTAAGAAGAGGAAGAAGAAAAAGGAACTCTTACCATTTGCCACAGCATGGATGGAACTGGAGAACGGATAAATACCACATGATCTCACTCATTTGTGGAATATAATGAACAACATAAGCTGATGAACAAGGACTGATCCAGAGACAGAGAGGTATTGATTGGACTGTCGGGACTTGGAGGGAAGGTAGGGGAGGGTGGGGGTAAGGGGGAAAGATCAACCAAAGGACTTATATGCAAGCATATAGGCCTAATCAATGGACATGGACAACGGGGGGGTGAGGGCATGAGCGGGGGGGGGGGGGGGATAGAGGGTAACGTGGGGACAAGGACACATATGTAATATCTTAATCAATAAAAAATATATTAAAAAAAAAAAAAAAAGAAGTCTACATATATAAATGTAGAATTGCCAGAAGAGCAAGCTTCAGAAAGTATAAGCACAGGAGGTAAAATCCATTATTTTTAAAAGTTTCGGTGGAAAAGCAGGAATCTTGTCTGTAAACTTTCATCTAATATTGGCAACTCTCACTGATCATACCTGTATCAGGAAAGCAATTTTAGAATCATCTTCATAATTAACTTCTGAATAGTAGAGCCGCTTAAGTAAATATTTGTACTTCAAAAATGATTCCCGTTGTCGAGTCTCATTGTCAAGGCTAATACAGTTACGACACCGGTATATGCGGTGTGCAGTGGATGAGATAGCGAACTCCGTAGACGGTAAGTAGAGCTGGCAACTGTAGCAAAAGTAAATCTTCTTATAAAATTTCTGTGGGTCTGGAGGGACCTAAATAATAAAAATATATACATATATTTAAATTTATATAGAGAGAGCGAGAGAAAGATGTAAATAAAAGCCAAGTCAAATACCACCCAACAGAAGCACGGAGGGCTAACATCTTAGAAAGAGATAAAAAGTTGGTTAATTTTTTAAAAAAATATGTTTTTCTTGATTTCAGAGAGAGAAAGGGAGAGGGAGGGAGTGTTGCAGAATTTACCAGGCGACCAGAAAATACACAAGGAGTACCGGAGGTTCAGGAAAAACCCTTTATTTAAAGCAGTGTTGCTGCTCAGGGGATTCGAAGATCCAAAGCCTGAACAACTTATACAGTGAGATTATCCTATCTAATAAAAGAGAAACATGGTAATTAGCATACGACTGCTACCCTTCTCATTGGCTAATCAGGGAAATATGCAAATTAACTGCCAGCCAAGATGGCAGCCAGCAGCCAGGCAGCTTGAAGCGAACATGAGGCTTGCTTGCTTCAGTGACGGAGGACTCCAACGTTCCCTGCCTGCCGCTGCAGGCCTCTGAGCTGCAACTCTAAGCAACTATGTAACAAATATAGAAGCTAAACAAAACCCCAGAAACCTGCTTTAGTCCTCTGGGCTTCAGCCAGCAGGATCGCAACATTGTTTCAAATACAGAAGGTAAACAAAGGCCAGAAACCTTCTTTCAGCAGCGGAGGCCTAAGAGCTGGAGCCAAGCCTCAAAGCTAAAGCTGGCCCAGAATAAAAAAAGAAAAAGAAAAAAAGGAGCAGTTGGGAGCTTCAGTCACCCGCCAGCCTGAAAACAGCCCTCAGCCCCTCACCCAGGCTGGCCAGGCACCCCAGTGGGGACCCCCACCCTGATCCAGGACACTCTTCAGGGCAAACCAGCCCCTCGCCCTGCGGCAATGTGTGTGACAGGGGGTGGGGTCACAACCTCCCTATCCACCCTGCTCTGTTTGTGACAGGGGAAGGCGCCCCAACCCACTGATCAGCCCTGCTCTGTGCCTGATAGGGGGGAACTCCCCAACCCCCTGATCGCCCTGTGTGTGACAGGGTGTGGCACCCCAATGCCCTGATCGGCCCTGCTCTGTGTGTGACGGGGTAGAGCCATAACCTCCCCATCGGCCCTGCCCTGAGTGTAACAGTGGCGGCGCCCCAACCCCCTCATCGGCCCTGCTCTGTGGGTGATAGAGGGCGACGTCCCAACCCCCACCCCACGGGCCCTGCTCTGTGTGTGATGGGGTAGAGCCATAACCTCCCCATCGGCCCTGCCTTGAGTGTGACAGTGGCGGCGCCCCAACCCCCTCATCGGCCCTGCTCTGTGAGTGATAGAGGGCGGTGCCCCAACGCCCTGATCCGCCCTGCTCTGTGTGTGACAGGGGGCGGTGCCCCAACTCCCCTATCGGCCCTACTCTGTGCGTGACAGGGGGGAGCTCCCCAACCCCCTGATGGGCCCTGCTCTGTGCGTGACAGGGTACAGAGCCCCAACCCCCTGATTGGCCCTGCTCTGTGCGTGACAGGGGGTGGCGCCGCAACCTCCCCATCGACCCTGCCTTAAGTGTGACAGGGGGCGGTGCCCCAAATCCCCAATTGGCCCTGCTCTGAGCCCGACCAGGGGCTGCACCTAGGGATTGGGCCTACCCTCTGCCACCTGGGAGCAGGCCTAAGCCAGCAGGTAGTTATCTCCCGAGGGGTCCCAGACTGCGAGAGGGCACAGGCCAGGCTGAGGGATGCCCCCTCCCCCCTGAGTGCACAAATTTTTGTGCACCAGGCCTCTAGTCCTATATAATAAAAGCCTAATATGCTAAGTGTCTGGTCATCCATTCAACCAATCAAAACATAATATGTTAATGATATGCTAATGCCACTAACCGCTCGCTATGACATGCACTGACCACCAGGGGGCAGATGCTCTGACCAGTAGGTTAGCTTGTTGCTGCGGTCTGGCTTATTGGGCCTGAGCAAGATGGGCCAGACATATGCTATAACCCTGGCCAACCTCCCGCATCCCTCCCTGACCCCGATCATGCACCAGTGGGGGTCCCTCAGCCTGGCCTGTGCCCTCTAGCAATCCAGGACCCCTCAGGAGATGTCAGAGATATGGCTTCAGTCCTATCCCCCAGGCCAGACCGAGGGACCCCACTGATGCACAAATTCATGCACCGGGCCTCTAGTTCCTTATATATTTCTCAATTCTTTGTTTCCTTACTTCCCGGCTTTCACAGCCCCTCCTGAGTCAGTTAGAATGGGGAAGTAAGATTACAGCCTTTAGTGGTGCTAGTGACCTCCCCTCTAGCTAAGCTGTTAAATTCTTAGTTTGTGGCCCTTGTAAACTGGGAGCATTTAGGAAAACAGATTATTGCCTAAGGAAGGTGCAGTGACTTAATTATAGGCTAACAAGAATGTGCACTAGAACACCAGTCACTGGCACAGATTAAGATTGCTAGCACCCCCGTCCCCCAGGTTGCCCCCTATATTCCTCCTCAAGAGAGAGAGAAACATGATTGGCAGCCTCCTGCACACTCCCTACTGGGCATTGAGCCCACAGCCCAGGGACTCGCCCTGACCTGACCAGGAGTTGAACCAGCGACCCTCTGGTGCATAGGCCACAGCTCAACCTACTGAGTCACACTGGCTGGGCAAAAGTTGGTTAATTTTTAAAGTCATACTTTCCCTTTAACTTACTATTCTATACAAAATTTAAACTTCAAGTAGTATTCACTTATCCTGTCAAAAATATTAAAAATCTGTATTATTCATCAATCCTTGGATAGATGTAGTAAAATCACACAGAAAATTAATTGACTGAAAGAAAATTAGTAAGTCAAGACTCTGGGTTGCAAAACAGTAAGAAAACCTTCCAAGTACTTTGGCACTTATTTTTAAGAAGACTTTAGAGTTTTGGTGTTATGCTACACTAATTAAACTTACAGGCAACTAGATTAACATATAAGTAAAAGCTCACTAAACCAATTGTTCTTATTCATTCAGTTTAACAATAAATTTGGATAGGCTCGATTTTCAAGATTTGAAACTCTGTATCATATGGTAGTTCTATTTTTATTTTCTTGAGAAAACTCCATTCTGTTTTCCATAATGTCGATAGCAATTTACACGTCCACCAATAGCGCACAAGAATTCCCTTTTCTCTACATCCTTGTCAAAACTTATCTTTTGTCTTTATCACTTTGCAGTTTTGATTTGCATTTCCCTGATGACTGATCACTTGTCATGTGCATGGTGGTCATTTCTCTACTCTTCAGGAAATGTCTCTTAAGGTCCTTTGCTCATTTCAAAGTGGGTTAAAATTGTTTTGCTATTGAGTTGTAAAAGCTCCCTTTGGTGGTGGTGGTGGGGGGGGGGGGGCAGGATATTAACTCACCAGATATATGGTTTGCAAATATTTTCTCCTATTTCATGGGTTGCCTTTCACTTTGTTGATGGTTTCTTTTACTGTGCTTTTTAGTTTGATGCAATCTCATTTGTCTGATTTTGCTTTTGTTGCCTTTGCTTTTGGTGTCATGACTAAAAAATCATTGTCAAACCAATGTCAAAAAACGTTTTCCCTGTTTCCTTCAAGAAGATTTACTGTTTCAGGTCCTACATTTAAGTCATTAATCCATTGTGAGTTGATTTTTGTATGTGGAGGGATATAAGGATCTAATTTCATTTTTTTAATGTGGTTATCAAGTTTTCTTAATCTCATTTATTAAAGAGACTATGCTTTCTCCCTTGTGTTCTTGGATTCTATGTCAAATATTAGTTGACCTTATATGTGTATGTTTTTTTCTGGCTAGTCTGTATCATTGATCTTTATGTCTCTTTTTAAGGCAATACCATACTGTTTTAATTATTAAAGATTTGAAATATAGTTTTAAATCAGAAAGCATCATGCCTCTAATTTTGTTCTTTCTCAAGATTGTTTTGGCTACTAAGAATCTTTTCTGTGAACAATGCCATTGGAATTTTGAAAGGGATTGCACTAAATCTGTAGGTCAGTTTGGGTAATATGGACATTTTAACAATATTAATTCTTCCAAAAAGATTTAGTAATACAAAGCAAACACCAAAAGCATGATCCATTTAAAAAATGGATACATTCAACTTCATCAAAATCACTTATGCTCTGTTAAAGAAATTGTGTAGAGAATGAAAAGCCACGCCACAAACTAAAAGGAGGTATTTACAAATCATATATCTTACAAATGGCTTGTATGTGAAATATACAAAGAATTTTCAGAATTCAATAAATGAGAAAATAAGTAGCCCAACTAAAAAAAGAAAAAAAGGTGGGGGTAGTAGCACAAGATATATGCAAACAGCTCACCAAAAAGATGTATGTATGGCAAAAAAGTGAGTAAAAAGATGTTTATTAGTCATTAGGAAAAAGGAGATTAAGAAATAATGGGATACTACTTCACATCTATTAAAATTAAATTAAAATAAAACTTGACAATACCAAGTGGTGACAAAGAGACAGAACAACTGGAACTCTCATACATTGAGATGGGAATACAAGATTGTACAGCCAATTTAGAAAAAATGCTTGTCAGTGTCTTATAAAAGTACATATGCATTTACCAAATGATTCAAAAAATCTCACTTTCTCGGCATTTAACCCCAAACAATTAATTTACAGAAAAATTCATAATCAAGTGTTTGTAGTGACTTTATTTACAAAACCACAAAACTCTAAACAACTCAATGTTCTACAACTGTGAATAAACTCTGGTACATCCAGACAAGAAAAATACAAACTACTGATATACTAAAAACCATAGGTGAATTCCAAATGCAATATGCTAAGTAAAGGAAGCCAATCTCAAAAGACTACATGTTGTTTCACTTATATGACATTCTGGCTTAGGTAAAACTATAAAAACAAAATGCAGATCAGTACCAAAGATTAGGGGGCCAAGGAAAAGATTGACGACAAGGTAGCAGCGTGAGGGAATTTGGTAATAAGACTTCTTTAATCTTGATTGTGCTATTGGTTATATGACTCTCTGAGTTTGTCAAAACTCACTAAAATGAGTTAATTTTACCAAAGGTAACTTAAAAAGTGAATAAAATGGTATAATGTTATGTGAATGTATAAAATATAAAATTCTATTATATTACTACAAACATATAAAAACTAAATAAGTCTATAGAAAAGGCTAGAGGTTAGCCTGGACAAATGAAACACTGATTTAAATAAAAAATAATAAAATGGGAAACTTTTCTCTTGAATTTTTGTTATATTTTAATATTCTCTTCCAAAGCAATTAAATTTTAAACATTCATTTAAAAATAAAAATTATAAAAATTAAATAATTTTCATTTTTATAAGTTTTGATTAATTATTAAGATAATTGTCAAAAAGCAAAACAGATATTCAGTCAGCTTCTTAAGTAAATTACAACTCTACAAATAATCATTGGAATAAAACACTATTTAGAATTCTTTAGTAAACTACCCCTAAAAATATTTTAAACCGTTTTGTACAGTAAGAAGGCAATAAGGCATTTATCTTGGCTTCAGAGAGCAAAAGCCCTATTGAAACCTAAACAGTTGGAGAAGACAGTTTAATTCAAACACATGTTACATGTGCCGTTCTCTCAGGATAGCTACATGGAACTGTTCATAATAATTATAACTACGTGATTAGTATTCTAAGGGAACACAAACCAGGTGCATGTAGAATCTCAGAGATGCAGGGTCTCTAAGGCCTCAGGAAGGAGGGACATGTGAATTGAGTCTTAAGAAATGAATTCAGACTTGGCTGGGTGAAGGAGGCAGACAGCATTCCAGGTGGAAGCAACAGTACGTGCAAAAGCATGAAGGTGTGAGAGGCGACGATACATTCAACATAGTGCGATATTTAACTAGAGATTTGGTTCAGATATTAGGAAAGAACTCAAGGTTGGAAACAGACACAGAAGCGAAATGAATATGTTTAATTCATCAACACAAAAAATAATCATTCAAAAGAGATTTCACAATAAGATGGTCTTCCCCATGGAATCCCAAGTAAAGTGTTAAAGCAAACTTTGAATAGTCTTCCATTTACTATCTCACATCTTAGAATTTTGAGAAAGCAATACAGGAAAAAGTTGAGTACCTTAAGGTGTCTTGCAACTTCTGCATTAAACAAAGGTGTTTTGATGTAATGAAAAAACAATGTTGCAATTCTTTTTCTGAGTCCTTCAAGGTTATCATTTTTGACTCCTCTCATCATAAGGTCAACCTCTCTGTCAATCAATTCTAGAATTTCCTGAGTCAGTTTACATTCATGTTCCTATTTAAGACACAAAAATATTCAGTACAGAATTTTAAGAATCAGTTTTTTAAATTACCACACGAAGAAACTGAAATGAGACTCCAGAAGAAATGCAACATCACTGATAGCAATATAAACTGGCACAACTAATTTGGGGGAAAAATTGACATTATCTAGTAGAGTTTAAGATATGCACAATCTACAACCCAGCAATTCTGCTCTTAAGTGCTTTAGAGAAATGTGCATATGGAGTCATTACGCACAGTGACCCCAAAGTAGAAAGCAACCAAAGAGCCATAAATAAGTTAATTACATAAATAAGTGATGGCTTATTCATAGACCAGAATATTATCTATGTAAGGAAGTAAGTGGACTACAGCTATATTCAATAACAACTTTCAGTCTTACAAATTAATGTTGAGCAAAAGAATCAAGGCACAAAACAGTACATATAGTATCAATCCATTTAAATAAAATACAAAAATAAACAACACTAACCATATTTTTTTAGAAATGTACACAGAAGTGGTAAAATAAAGAAAAAAAATCAAAGGAATTACTACCATGGAAGTCAGTATGGTGGTACTGCTAGGGGATAAGAGGGTGAGCTGCCGTTGTGAAGAGAAAGTGGGACACCAGCAATGTTGGTTCTATCCTGTTTTGGATCCACAGGGTGGTTACATGATTGATGGCTTTATATTCGTTAGACTGCACACATATATTTTACACATATTGTCTGCATGCTAATATAATTCACAATAATTTTTAATAAAGTAATAGAAATGAGTGTGGTTGGATAAGAAAGCCCTGGGTAAGAGCTAAGTGATTAAGGTACAAGGATTGATAAGTAGTCAAATAGAAGGTGCTCCAACTGCCCCACAGAGGATCATGAGAAATGAGTGAGCCAGAAGGTAAAGTCAGTAACTAATACTCTTCTGTACTTTCTAATACATGCTTGGCATAGCTAATACGTGAGTCTAATCAGTGGCCCCTGAGCCCGAAGGCACTTTAGAAGGACCTGGGGGAGGGTTTAAAAGATGTTTAACATTGCTCTCACACTTGAGTATCTAATTTAACTGCCTTGAAATGGAGCCTAGATATTATTTCTAATCGTTCTCATATCCTCTCTCTGTGTGTGTGGTGTGTGTGTGTGTGTGTCTGTCTGTCTGTCTGTCTGCCACTCTCTCTTTTTCAAGCTCTCCAGATGATCCTAATGTGTACTCAGGTTTAAGATTCACTGGTCTGTATTAGCAATTGTTACCAAAATAATACCTATTATTTATTGAGGGCTTTCTATTTGTAAGTACTGAGACATACAGATTATATTTTTATTTTATATATTTATATATACATATATATGCACAAACATAGATATATTTATATCCTCAAAGCAACTAACTTTACAAATTAATTAAAAATGATTTTCAGAAATATTAAATAACTTATCTAAGGTTGCACAGCCATAAATGAATAAGAGCCAGAATTTGAATCATTCTTGAAGCCCGGGGGGATTAGGCTTAAGCTGGCAGGTGGACATTCCCCAAAAGGTCCCAGACTGCAAGAGGGCACAGGCCGGGCTGAGGGAACCCCCCCCCCCCAGTGCACAAATTTCGTGCACTGGGCCTCTGGTTGTTATATAAAGGTACGTGTGATATAGTAGCTTAAACAAATTGAAGAGATGCCCAATTTATCTTTTATGAGCCACTCTTTGGTGTTTTTTTAATTAGCCAGATAATGGTCCTAATTATGTCAGATAAGAGGATTTCTACTAGATTCCCTACTTGCACTCTTCTTAACAATTTGGATATCATGCTTATTTCCTACCTCTAGATCTATTGCTTCTCCCTCTCTTCCTAAGTATCACAGTATTTTAAGGCCACTCACTACACAAACATCTTTGAAAGAGTAGTTCAGGACAAAGGCACTCACTCAATGCCTCTGCTCTCAAGATGGGCAGAAATGCGAGAGACCTGTGGAGACTTATCTCCCAACAAGAACCATTTACTCGGCTACTTAATGTGTCATACGAACTTTGTGTGTTTTGGTCTTGTTTCTTCTCAACAGAATAACAGTTCTTTGCAGTTAGGAAACAAAGAACCCACACGAGGTATCTAAGCATTTTGCTGATGAAATTCTTAGATTGCAATCACATGATTCTCCTAGATAGATTTAAATATGGCTGACATTTTTCTGTTGTTATTTATAATGAACCCCTGATTATAATTTGGATATCTGTATCTATATGCTCTGAGAATTTGGCTCATATTGATGACCAAAATAGACATGCCATGCAGTTATCCAACCCACTGCCTATCTAAAACCTTTATAATAGTTAAAACAGATGGTAACTCAGAAACAACTTCTATCTTTATGCCATCAACTGAAGGTAGCATCTGGCAAGTGCCTTATAAATGTGGTGAACTGAAAATCACTTTTCAGAAGCCAAATATTTTAACTGAATTGCCCACTTAATTTACCTATATTGACAAAAACATAGGACCAATATTGCCTTCCATTTGAGCTATAAAACAGAAGAGCGATTCCAGTGGTCCTGATGATACTTGCGTTTTCCCCTTTATTTAGGATACAGAAGACATATTCATTATAATGAATGCTGTGACGTGCTGCCCAGATTACCCCACTTCAGAACCAAAGCCCTCGGTCTCCCTGCTGTGGACAGGGCTGGCAGCTGGCAACTCCCAGCTGAGCCTCCCTCTAGATTGCCCTCAGCTGAAGAAAGCCACATTGGCTGAAAAGAATCACCATCGATTTAAAAGGACTTCCTCAGTCAAGGCCATGCTTTCTTCCCGGGAACACCCTGAAATCAAATGACTAATCAATGTGGGGGTACAAAGGCCAGGACCCTGAGTGGAGGTATTTGGGAACAAACAAATAAGTAAATGGAATTCTGACCCAGGTCCAGCTCACAGTGGGTCCCCTGGGTGCAGAGACCCACCCAGCATTCATTTCCCTGGTCCTGACACATATCATTGGAATGGAATGCTTGGTAGTTGGCACAGGCCCCCTTTCCCTTGATTTCTTGTGCTTCTGTGATGGGGAAGACGAAGCAGAAGCCCTTGAAACTGCTCTACGCTGGAAACCAAGGGGGTAGAGTAGAAATGGCCTCACTCACTACTTTGGGAATGTTTGCTTCCTGTTCCTGCAACTGTGTGCTCTTCAAGTTTAGAGGTCCCAATTCCTGGAAGGGGGGGAGGGGGAATGCTTCTAGCAGTGGACACAGCAAGAATCCTATTAAACGTGAAACTGTAACAATGCCTGGGGTCCTTAGGCCACATGATCTGGGACAAGAAAAGTGTCACACGCCTGTAAAGGTAACTGACCTTGATCTTTCAAAGGCAGTACAGTGGGGCCTTGACTTACAAGTGTCCCAACTAACGAGTTTTTCGAGATACGAGCCATCTCTCGGCCGATTTTTTACTTTGAGTTGCGAGCTAAAATTCGGGTTATGAGCCAGCTTCAGATACCCCACCGCTAGTTGGCGCAGCGAACGTCACAGTGAATGCCACAACATCAGCCCAGCATCAAGTGTCTCACTCGTTCACTTTTTGATTTGACATATGAGTAATTTGAGTTACAAGCTCCGTCATGGAACGAATTAAACTCTTAAGTCAAGGCCCCACTGTATGGCTTTTATTACCCAATGCAGACAAGGAAGGGTATTTTTGGCCTCCATGTAACGGGCATTTCTTGATATACCATTTAAGGATGAGTGCAGTAAACAGCAGCATACAGCGTCACCTTCCCCTATCCCTTTCCCTTCTTGGGCCCTGAAGGAAAAGACCAGCGAGGAAGGTTAGACCCCTAGGTACCAAGGAAACTAACACCTTCCTGAATCAGTGATCACTCAAGCCCAACCCAGACTGTTCTGAGGGGTATTCACTGGCTTCAAACCAGGGAGCGTGTTCACTGGGCTCCAATCATGGAGCAGGCCTGGCAACAAATGTGAGCTTCCCTGAGAGGTATTGGTTGGTTCAGCCCTTTGTTCTTTAGACCAAGCATGTCAAACTCATGACCCACAGGCAGCATGCGGCCCACAATGAATATTTTTGTGGCCCAGCCAATATAACGGTATGTAAGAAATATTTTAATAAAAATTTCATAACTTAATTTTTACAATATCCTGTTATACGTAATTATTAATAATGAACTACAACATTTGCTAATGACTGACTACTATAATTGTGTTGCATTTATTTCCCTTACACTCCTTACATGCAGGCGCACCATTTCTCTCCACTAATACTAGCAGCAAACATTTTAGCAGTTTATTGCCACATCATTAGTATTGGACTGACTTGTTTGGTGTGTGCAGGAGAAAATATTTACCTTTCAGAGAACAAGAAAAATAGATTTATTTGCATTACACTTATTAATTTGTGCAGTTATTCAGTGTCTGGAAGTTAATGTTCAAGAAAAAATATTAATTTTTATTAAAATGTTCTATTATTTTATGTTAATGATTACTCATTTATTTCAGCCCTTTGTATTCAGCATTTTTATATTTATTATATGCCATCATACATAGTTTGAGAACTTTTAGATAAATATCACTGCATAACCCATATCCTCTCCAAATTATACCAAAATAGTATAGTTGTTGACACAATTTATGTAAACATTTATCAATCATTTTTATAATTACTGAATGCAAACATTTCATTTATTTCAGCATTCAATTTTTTTTATTGATAATGCTAAGAATACCCCAAAACTAAGAGAGAGTTAATGTACCTTCACAGTATGTTTAAGTGTTAAGAGTACGTCCAGCCTCTCATCTTGGGAGAGATTTTTCAGCATAATGCATTTATAGATGTTTTGAAGCTCTCTGGCTCTGATAATGAACTGTGTTTCCATCTCAATTATTTTGCCATCGGCTCTTCTCCATGTCTTCGGAGCTGAACACTTAAAAATATATTAGGTTTATAATTATCAGTTAGTTAAAGGCTAAATTATAACCTTGTTTTTTCTATTAAAAGTTTACCTTAATTATCATGTGCTTTATGAATAAGAGTATCACTAAAACATCAGAAAATTAATTAAAGGATTTGGAGACCATGGGACAGTAAGACATTTTAGGAAAAAAAAATATGAGCGAGCTGTTCAGCATATACAGTATAAACACTTCTACAGGATTCAGATTCTGCTACTAATTTGTACTAGCTGGTACGTTGAACGGCTTGAAGGGTGCATGAAAAATCTCATTACCCCCATTTAGAATGTTTCTAAAAGTTATCTGCTCAGTTCAATTACATTAAATTGTATAAATGTCTTGACCGTGCTTTGCCAACTGAAGACCACCTTTGTGGGTGGAGCTATTGTTACAATCCTCAATGTGTAAAGCCAAAAGAACTCCGTGAGTTTTAGTTTTGTTTTCTAGATAAATAAATCTACCAAAAGTTTACCATTCTTCACAACGCAGATGTCCATAGTGAGACGGCGTTAGTAGCTATCTTAGCAGTTGCTATGGTCCCTGCCTCCCTGGTAATGGCTAAGAGTCTCACTTTGTATTTCCAAATCTGGCATGGTTCCTCCCAACAGAGCCCACCTCCGGAGCTGAGGGTGACAGCTAGAGCTCACCTGCCCTGACGCTCCTCTGACTACCTCCAGGCTAAGAATTCAGAGACCAGAGACAGGAGGTGGAGAAGGCCCTCCGCAGCTGCGGACACCAGCAAGTCTTAATGCCGAGTAGGAAGTTTGGGTTTGCCAGCGCTTCTGTTCCCACCTTTACGATGCATTCACCCAGAAAGTTCCCTGTGAAAACTCACCGTCTATTTGCTCTTCCACTTTAAGGCAGAAGGCTGCTCAGTTTCTCCCCCTGATTACACTCTGTCAGAAACAAGGCTATCTTATCATCACTAGTAGCTGTTCAGATGTTGGAGGCTGATTGGTAATCGCTCTGGAGACCTGTAGTCCAACTGCCATACTTGCAACCATTTAAATCTTAGATTTGATATAATTTAGAGTTTAAATAAAACCCCAGGTATTGGGACAAATCATCAGGAATGTAGACTAGCCAAATAAAGAAATAATATAAAGATGCATTTGGTATGATAGGAATTTATAGTTATAGCATCAATTTATCTTTTATTATTTTACATTTCATATTAGCTCAATTACATTGAGAACTACAAAGTAACCTTTGAAAAAATTACATTTGAGCCTTGGCTGGTGGGGCTCATTTGGCAGGGCGCAGAGGGCAAACAGGAGGCAGCCGATAGATGTTTCTCTCTCTCATTGACATTTCTCTCTCACTCTCTCTCTCTCTCTCTCTCTCTCTCTCTCTCTCTCTCTCTCTCTCCCTCTCTCATTTCTCTCTCTAAGGCAGCGGTGCTCAACCTGTGGGTCATGACCCCTCTGGCGGTCGAACAACCCTTTTACAGGGGTCGCCTAAAACCATCCTGCATATCAGATATTTACATTACGATTCATAACAGTAGCAACATTACAGTTATGAAGTAGCAACGAAAATTTTATGGTTGGGTCACAACATGAGGAACTGTATTTAAAGGGCCAGAAGGTTGAGAACCACTGCCTAAGATAAATAAAAACATATTTGTAAAATAAATAAACTATATTTGATATGCTTTCAAAGTAATGGCATTATTTTCTGATCAAAGCCAAAATGAATCAAAAATTTTAGATTCTCAGTTCTAATTTTAATTCAGCAAGTGTGAAGCATCAGCCCTATAATTAATTATATTTTAGAGTATAACTGTAGTATTAAAAATATATTATTCATTAGCTGCCTGATAGAATTAAGTCAAATTTATTAAGAATTACAAAATGTTTATAGCTCAATAATAAAGTGTTTTATCACTTAATTATTATCAATTAGAAATAAAAATATTGTTTTAAATTGAATACAGCCTTGTATGGGATAGGCCTCAGAATGTTATTAAAGTTTCATGCTCGTTTCAAAGCTCTTTTTAAAAGTTTTAAGGAATAAGCAATCGTAAGATAAGTTTTCTACTGCAATATTCTAAAGTCTAACTAATTTAATATGCAATTTTCCTCAGGGTGGCTCTGTTAAATGTAATCTTCAAGTAATGTGGGTGATACCTTTTGCTCTGCAGGCTGGTAATTTATTTCACTTGTAATAATCCAAGCATATTAACCTTTTGAAGAAATGCCTAGTGTAAGAACATGCCTCTGATTCATCCTCATAGAAAAGAAACAGCATGTGGCCAGGCGGTTACTGAATTTCCCCAGAGCAAACAGGGTGTGGGGGTGGGGAGAGGGCATGAGAGCTGTGCCCGTGGCTGATAGCACATTTTCCAGGAAGATTCCTCTAAACGAAGGGAGGTGGAGACAGCTAGAAAGGTCTCTGCCCAATGTTTTAAATGGCCCAATGGGAGACAGCAAGACCTAGGCGGCGTATTAGGAAACAGGTGACCAAACAGCACTCAGCCAGTGAGGAACCGGAGGAGGGACTAAATAAATAGGCTCTGTTCCCTGCCCCACGTGTGTTCCTGTACAATGGACGCCCACTCTCCCGAGTGTTACTAAAAGTCTCATTTTCACCATGTTTCTGTCTCCCAGTCCGTCATTGAAATTCGGACAGGTGAGCCATTTCTCAACCTACTTTATCTACTGCATTGTGTTTTATCCAGCTGGTAGATTGATTTAACTCTACCTTAACTTTTTAGCCCCATCTAAATAGTATGATATAGTAATATCTTGGATTTTTTCCAAACATATTCAACATTCTGAACCTTTCCATTCTTTAGTTTTCAACTCAAACTCTATTCCTAACTACTATAGTCTGAACAAATAAAATCACTAGTACCTGAAATCCTATTTTACTTATAAACACACACACACACACACACACACATCAGTGTTTTTATTTCAATTGCTCAGAACAATAAAATTTGTGTCCAAATTGTTCTATAATTATTTTATGTTTGTTAATTCTATATCTCCCCAAAGATTATAAGAATAAATGTTTCAGTTATGTATATCTCACAGGGCTAACAGTACTCATTCATTCAGCCAACTAATATTTATTGTTTACTGTATATCAGCACACCAAGTACCTAGTAGATAAATACTGTCCTGATTTCAAGAACTCTCAAATCTAATGAGATGTAAAGATAAGAAAATAAGTAACTAAAAGAAGAGTGATTATGCGTGATAATTGCAGGTAAATAATTAACTGGTGAAAAAAATAGAATCTAAGATGAAACCCAAAGAAAAACTAGGAGGTAGACAGAGTAAAAGGAATAATGAGTGATAGATACAAAGAATCCTAGATATGAAGTTCAAGTTCCCTAGTGTTGGCACTATGAAGATATTAAAAATCTGTTTGGCAAAGCTTTTTTATACAGGATTTATTTCTGCCAACACTGACAATTTGGTCTTCAAATCTAGGCTTCTTTGGTTTCGGGCCTTAAGATATTTTTTTACTCCGATGTAGGAAAATGTCAACTTTGCTGATTTCTCTTTCCTATTGCCTTTTTTTCTTTGAAAGCTTTGGCTGTACTAAGAGATGCACAACAATCGTGTTCTTAAATTGGCTCGGAAAACAGGAGTGTAATAAATTCCACTCCGTTGCTAACAAATGAGACAGCGCGGACTCTGGAGGAGAGAAACAGAAGAACAGCAGGAAGACGCATTTCAGGGCAGGGAAGGTGGAGAGAGAACCTTGAGCGCAGCAGGCTTCCACAGAGGAGGAGAAATGACTGCACTGTGAAGAGGTCTTTTCTTCCTCCTAAATTAATACGCAAGTCCCTAAGGACACAAATTAAGAATAGCCCAACCCCCCAATAACGACTGGGGAGTGGTCAGCTTTTCTTTTACACAGCAAAGGGGTTCCATTCGTCCACAGAGGACACCCCTGTACACTCTGGTGCTCAGAGAGAGGCAAGAATTAGTTGCATTTTTCTGTCCCATTAGCTGTTGGCCACCTGAGTAATGAGAAAAACCACTTAAATGACACACCTAACATAGCTGGCAGTTTTTTAGCTTGTGATTATGAGAAGTGAAGTGGTGTGAAATCAAGAGAATCAAAGAATAAATGGCCTCGACTCTAGAGAAAGCCTCTTACTAAGTGCAAATGGTCTCGATACAGTTTGGATAAAAAGCACACAAGATATATTAGAAACCAGCTGATGATTTTTTGTTCAAATTTCTTGACCTGAATTTCTTCACCTCTGTTAACTTGTGACTTTTTAACTTTTGATAACCTGTGGAGGTCAATGTTTGATATGTTAAAAGTATAACTCATTTAATTAATTCTTCAGAAAACCTTTCGATTAAGCCTTTTAAGGAGAATAAAGGCTTAGTATAGAATTTGTAATAACTGACTGATTCCATGCCTTGACTGGACCAATTTAAAAGCATATCATTCTTACTCAGAGAAATTCCATGTTCAGGATAAAAAGATAAAAAATAGCCCTAACCAGTTTGGCTCAGTGGATAGAGCGTCAGCCTGCAGACTCAAGGGTCCCAGGTTTGATTCTGGTCAAGGGCATGTACCTTGGTTGCAGGCACATCCCCAGTGGGGAGGTGTGCAGGAGGCAGCTGATCGATGTTTCTCTCTCATCGATGTTTCTAACTCTCTATACCTCTCCCTTCCTCTCTGTAAAAAATCAATAAGGTATATTTTTTTAAAAGATAAAAAATAAAATATTAGTTCAATAATCTACATAATCTTTAGATTCAATGAAGTTAAACACCAAAATTATAATTGTGTTCTCCAATGTTATTTCCAAACTACAAAAAAGTAATTGTTCTTTTTACGTATCTATATATTATGGTGCTAAGAGTGGATCTTAAAATCTGCATTATAGCACTGGCTGTTAGTTTTGACATTTGAAAAACTCTAACGCTGTCCAGCTTCAGGGATTAATAATAAGCTATTTTTTCTTAGCAATCAAAAAACCCTGTGGATTAATAACTTA